CACCCCACCAACCAACCCCAACTCAACCCAACCTCGAGCAGTTGGCGGCAGCGACCTGGATCTGGGACAGAGTTCTGGTCCTATGGTCTATCCTCTTTTCAGCACCCCCCCCCAACACCTCCCCTCTTAACTACAGTACCCCTCTCTAACACTCCCAGGAACCTCGAGGGCGGCAAGGAAGTCTCGTTCAATCTACTCAGAAAACTGGCACTCTGGGTCAAATGGAAACGCAGATGCACACGGACAATCGAGGGAACAGAGGTGGCAAGGGACGAAATGTGGACCCTTCTGCTAAACATGGCAGCGACCGAAATTCGGAATAGATGGCGAAAGATATCTTCATCCACGAAGCACAGACCAGAAAAGCACGCAGTCAAAAGACGTGCATTGCTGAGGGACTGGCTGTTAAGGGGCAAGGCCACCACCATAACGGACAACCGGCTGATATGGAAGAAGTGGCATCAGGCTTAGACTACTTAGCTGCGAAGCAACGGAACGCCACGAAGTTCCATGCAGGAGGAACCGCATGACCAGCACGAAAACGAACAGTCTGCCGGACGAGAAGGGGATGGGAAAGTCGTTCGAATTCAAATAGAAGCTGAACCTCTCAATTTTTTTGTTTTGCAGATGTCTATTGACAGGCCCTGATTTGGAGCCTGAGCGGAACAAGTGGGTAGGGCATCAATGCTGGTCAGGGATCCTTCCGCCATACGGAAGGAAGCGTGAGCGTGTACTCTATGTATTTCAATTTTGACTTGCCGGGGGAATAGGAACCGGACTGACACTCCCCAGAATGGAAAAGAAACTCGCGTCTTGTGTGATGAGCCCAGCGAAACTCGGGTTGCTTCGGAACCCTGGCCTCTGCGGGAGCGTTCCCGTCTTAGTGTGCCCAGCGATCGTGTTGCGCACGCATTCGTGCCCAGCGATCGTGTTTCGCACGTGTTCGTGCCCAGCAATCGTGTTTCACACGCGTTCGTGCCCAGCGATCGTGTTTCGCACGCGTTTGTGCCCAGCGATCATGTTTCGCACGCGCGTTCGTTCCCGGGGAGCTTTCGGGGGTTTCTTTCGGCCCGCACACGTTCGAATTTAGGTCTCCCAAAACATCGCATCATTCTGTGCCCTTTCTTTTTTTTTTGAGCTGCGCTTCGGCCCGCGCTCGTTCCCTCTCTACGTCCCTCCTCCCTCCCTTTGTCCATCCCTCCGTCCGTCCCTCCCTCCATCCTTCCCTCCATCCGTCCGTCTTTCCGTCCGTCCATCCATCCGTGGCAACCACTTACGTACCAGCCCAGCAATTCATCCATCCATACATCCATCCACCCATCCATCCATCCATCCAATCCTCTGGCAATCACATCTGTCCAGCACTACCTGTCCATTCATTCATTTGCCCTCAGATTCATCTGACCGCAAATCTGTCCATCACCCATGAAGTCAGAGACTGTCAGACATGTTGCAAAAGCAGGCACGCTCCACATGAGGGTTCAGACTCTCTTTTGCTATTTTGAATGAGAAGACCCTCGTTCTCGCTTAATTGCACACACCGTCATGACTCATAAGCTCATAAACTACAGAAACACACATGCACACATACCACATGCACATACACAGATAGACACCGACACACAGACACACAGGCATTCATCATCACACAGACACAGGCACACAGGCACACACACATATACACACCATTTTTTTTTTTATTTTTTTTTTATTTTTTTTTTTTGTCGATACACACCAATCTTGACATACACTGTATTTGTGCACATACACGCATACACCTGAACAGACACACATTGGGAGAGATCAACCTATAGAGCATTGAAAGTGACATAAAAAGGGAGAATGAGTTGATGCCCAGCACCCTGATCTGCGATCGTTGCTGGAGGGCATGCCTCCTTTTTTCCTTACCCATTCTGGAAGTGCCATCTCCGCATTCGTTTTGGTTGGAAACAATGGTGGCTTTCCACTGATGAGCTCTAAGAAAACAACACCGACGCTGAACGTATCGCTCTTCTCTGTGAGGCGATGGAGCGCATTGTATTCAGGATCTAGATAGCCTGGACACCAACCCCGGAAGCACGGTTTCAACACAAACAGCAACAGAGAGTCTGAGAGACTGACATATAAATTCAGGTATCGGAAGTCGACCAACATACCTCAAGCATCAGCTGGCTTTACGGATGATGCTCGGCAGCAGGGAAAAAAATAAAAATAAAAAATTGTTTTGTTGCTCAATGCTCATCCAAATTTTATCACGAGCAAGCATTACCATTGTCCATACAGATTATATAAAGACAATGTTTCCTGTGTCTGCAAAGATTATGCAGGATAGACAGAAATAGTAGATATCCTCGATCCGTAAGAAAAAGGAAGTGGTTGCGTCCTCGCGGGATCCAAGTCCTAGGTTCACCTTTGCCATCAAATTTCAGTGTTCGAACTTCAAACTAATTCCATTGAGTGCTCTTTTTTTTTTTTTAATACAAAAAAGTTGAAAAGAACAACCTTTTCAAGCGGACACCGTGCGGCAAATTCCGCACCTTTGGCACACGGGGGAAATATTCACTCAAAAAAAGTAGGGGTTGCATGGCTGGGTCAACGGTCACCTGGGTCCCCTTTAAAGCTTTGTTGTGGGATGAAAAAAAAAAAAAAACACTAGCAGGAGGGTAATGCTGCTACCTGAAGGTCCAGACTGATGTCCCAGACACCTTTTTGAGGTTATCTCTCATGCCCAATTGGACGGAAAGAAAAATCTCTACAGTTGTACTTGAAAATATATCAGTTCCTTTTATCTTGCAAGTATGCGTTTGCAAGTATGCAAAAAACACAACCCTCTTTTTATTGTGGGAGGGCACCAGTGTGGTTACTTATCCCCGGCAAGCATACAGAGAACAAAGAGTGCAAAGGGATGGAACCAGAATCCTATCAAAGCCGACATTGGATAGCCGGAGCCGCAACTTGTTTCACAGACTTGTTTAAAACTTTTTTTCTTGACAAATGCAACAGTGGGCTTCATGGCACAATACTCATTTTCTTATTTCTTTTTCTTTTCTTTGATGGGCACAGTAAGTGATACCCTACACATGAAAAGTCGAAAAAAAAAAAAAAAAAAAAAAAAGGCCGAGAAAAAATATATATAACCTCTCACACAACCTGGCATGAAGTAATGAACCCAATTGCGTAACAAATGTGCTAATTAAAAGCTCGATTCATTCAGCGGTTCCCCTCCCCCTCCCCCCGCCCTCCCCGGCCCCCTAAGGCCTCCCAGCCCCACTCAGCATGGAACCTCCCTCCTGCTGCCTGCTGTCTCACATTCTTTTTTTCCCTTTTTTTTCCTTTTTTTTCCTTTTTTTTCAACAAAGTGCAGTGGCCTCGAGATATCATCAGGGTGTGGCATTCAGCCACTGCCAGCTCACACTAGGAGGTATATTTTACTAATCTGATTAAATCAGGATTCAAACTCCGGCGGTCTGTTTCGTCAGTAGTTTATCGGCGTGGCATTCAGCCACTGCTATCTCACATTCCTCTTTTTTCCTACGTTACGATCCCGCTGGTCCGGGGGCCTAGGGGTCTGCCTGTATCCCACAAGGACGGGCCTGGCTAGGCAAGGCCCGGCCAAGGGGCCAGAAAGTCCCGGCGAGAAATTTCAACAACAATGAAGAAAATAAAAATTTTAAAAAATCTGAAAAAAAACATATGTTGTGTAAAATGATAGTACAAACAACTTTTGGCTGAGGGTCATCATCACCATGCCTTTTGGATCCCTTTCCTCACCCCCGCAACCCCCCCCCCCAACCCCCCCCCACAACTTGTCAACTACTCAAGAAAAGGGTGGATTCGGCATTCTCAAGACAAGCGCATTCACACAGCGCATTCACACAGCGCAATCAGGGAAAACAAAATAAAATCCCCGGGCACTCTTGAGGCACGCCCCGATTGGCCGTGCAGTCTCCCCCCCCCCACCCACCCACCCCTGCCCCTTCTTGCCCAAGTAACCTAGTTTTTTCCTGTTTCCAAGTTCCCTATTTTATCGATACATCGGCAAACAGAAATCCCGGTAAACCGTAGGCAGACAGGGAGAAGAGGACAACAAATGAGGGGCTGTGACAAACTGTGTTGTCGTAATCTCACCAATATTTGGTAGTGCAAATGACAGGGAAGTGCACAAATTAACAATTATGATTAAATTATCGCAATTTTAAGTCCAGGGTGTTGTAGAGGCCAAGGACCAGACCCGTGGTGATTGCTGGTAGTGGCAGCCAATGATTGTCCTGACAGATAGGCCACCTACCCTACCCATCCCTGCGTTAATACTCCCAGCGCACCCCCTGCATCTTAAACGTCCCCTAAATAGCATCCACAATAAATGGAATTGGGAACACATAAATCAAAATCCACAATAGATACTTCGTAATGATGAAGGGAACCTTCACAAGATGTTATAATTTCAATTAACATGAAATAGAAATACGGATACGGTTCCGGTAATTGGATTGAGAACAGTCGTATTATACTATTATGGTACAGTATTACCCAATCCTGACATAGGGAGGTAGTGACAATAATAAATAACAATGCTGGGCTCTTTCGAGTCCGGTAATAGGAATGAAAAATACCTCGTGTCCCCCGAACATTCATTGTCGATACGTGCGATGCGTCCTCATTTTCAACAAGCTTCGAGAAACCGAAGTCCCCGAGCTTTGCATTGAACTCATCATCCAGTAAGATGTTAGCGGACTTGACATCTCGATGGATCACGGCAGGCCTCACTTGTGTGTGCAAGTAGTCCAGCTGCAGAGAGAAACCCCACCAACCAAATTACTCCAATTAATGTCCAAGCAACTTCAACTCTCTTCTATCCCACACTTGAGACCCCAAATCACTTCACCCTAGACCCTAAGCCCTACCTAACGTCGAACAAAACAGCCAGGCTGACACTGTCCCACACACTTACCTTCCAAATTGATGCAATTAATGTCCAAGCAACTTCAACTCTCTTCTATCCCACACTTTCACTTTGCCCCCAAATCACTTCTTAGCCCCTAGACCCTAAACCCTAACTCACGTCGAACGAAACAGCACTCCCTATGCTGTCCCACACACTTCGCTCCAACACCACACACACAAAAACACGTATGTCCCCCACTGAACTCCAATATCACTTCACTAATGCTCACAAAGCAGCCTGGTCCACACACACAGTCCCACACAATTTAGCTTGAACACCAGTTCCGCACGCCCCAACACTCCAACACCAGTTGACCATCACGTCCCGACACTCCAACGGTTGGCATAGAGCGGCCCCTGCCATGCCAGACCTTCCTGAGTGGCTCTACGACCGCCAGGTCCGGTCATGAGCCCACGACGAAATTGGAGTGCCCACTTACCTTATTTTCAGCCTGCAGTGGAGACTCTTGAGGGGTGTTGACCAGGAGACATTGGCTAGGTTTGGGACTGCGATCTGTCTCAAGGATAGAGGTCCTGTCACGGGTGTACTGCAGATCCGGGGAGGCACGGCCTTGTTGGCCGATCCCGAAGGAGAGGTTTACTTAGACACAGGGATTCTTGGGATAGAGGGAGAGCACAAGATCCGCGACCGGTACGGGATACTGGAAGTGGTAATCAAGG